AGTGACATAACCTCCCCGACCTTCTTTTCTCCAAACTGCAAAATGGAGGAAATAGTAGCACCAAACTCAGAGGGTTACTGTGAGGATGAAATGAGATAATGCAAGGTACTTAGCACAGTGCCTGGCTCAGCAGCTCCATATGTGTGAACTACTACTGTATTGTCATTTAAATAAGTATTTTGACAGTAGACACCTAAAAATGTAAATGTAAAATTCCTAGAATAACAGAAGCAGTGTACACACTAATTATTAATACAAAGAATACAGCTATGTATCCTGACAGCAATCAGGCAGGAGTTTAAACAAAAATAATTGTAGTTTTAAGTTTACACTTTTCAATAATACAGCATAATTTAAGTGTGTCATTTTAAATTTCAAATGAAAAAAAGGCAGCATGTGTAATAAAGTACTATTTTAACCAGGTTGCTTTAAGTGTATACTTTACATTTTTTAATTTAAAAAGAATGATTCAAAATGAAGTATAAAAGAGCATTCTAAATACACCACACACTGTTAACACAAGAGTTAGGGGTTAATGAAAAAAGATACCAGTTGTACTTGAACATGTGTTACTTTTAAAGTATGTTTAGTGCTTATTAGATAGAGAGTACTGTTATTGAAATTCTAAGCCTCTTTTTGAAAAAGAGATGTGGCCTTTCTCAGGTTGAAGTTTTTGGAAGCAAACAATTTTTAGATGTAGTAGAAATGAATTTGATTTAATACAGTGATTTGAGGCGAGTGTGGCATAGGATAGCTGGGCTTCTGAGAAGCCAGCTCCCCAAGAATAAAAAGGTCGTGAATACTGATGAATCCCTAGTAACCTTAAAAACACATTTCCTCTCTTCTTATAGCACTTTACATTAAAGAAATAAGAGATGTGCACCAAAATTTACATGTAACAATACTGATCATCATAAGATTTCTAATACGGAAATTTTTGAGTGAGCCATATATGAGGGTACTTCACAAAGTTTATGGAAAATAGAATTAAAAGATAATATGAATCTCTCCGTGAACTTTTGGAAGTACCCTCATGTTCAACAGAAGGAAATTATGATATAAATTATGATAGTCACTTGATGGAATATGATTCAGCCTTAAATACCATGTTTTCAAACAGAAGTTAATGACACTGGAAAATGTAATACATTCTGAAATGAAAGTAAGCAATAGTCAAAGTGCATAATACTATTTGCTTATGTATGTCTTGTTCAAAGCCCTAAGAAACAGAGCAGGGGAAGGCCAGGAACGGGGGTGGTTCTCACATATGCCTGATAAGAACTATCACAAAGGACTCTGCAAAGCCTCAACTTTGCACAAAGGCCTTTACAACCTTACCCAGAAAATAGTTCTGTGAGGACATCTGCCCCACGATTGCCTGTCCAACCTTGGACTGGCGTCACCCTGTTATTGATCCTTGTAGCCAAGGATAATTATCCCAAAACAAGTAAGTAATCCTCCATCACTTTTCCTTTAAAACCCTTTGTCTTCCTTTACCTCCCTGAACACGCACTTAGTTTACTATCGCCCATGTATTCCCCTTGCAATGCCCTATTCCCGATGAAACTCTTTTAGACAGCCTCTCTGTTTGTTTTTCAAGTTGACAGTCTACAGGCAAAAATGATAGAGAAATACACCCAAATATGAACTGCTGGTGCTACTGTCTGTGGTTTTCATTTTCTCTTTTCTATCTTCCTGCATTTATATGTTCTACATAAAGATGTACATATTTTTAATTCATTTATTTTTTTATTGCATATTGTATTGGATACAGTTTGTTGTTTCAGTACATGCATATATCATATAATGATCCAATCAGAATAGTTAGCAGAGCTTTCACCTAAACATTTGTCATCTCTTTGTGGTTATAGCATTCAAGACCCTTTCCAGCTATCTTGAAATATACAATACAATACAATAGCTTAGCTGTAGCCACTCTAGAGAACCAGAACCTATTCTTCCTATCTAACTGTAACTTTCTCACTTTGCTTGCCACCTTCTCCCCATCACTTGTCCCAACTCCCCTTCCCTGCCTCTGATAACCAGTATTCTACTCTCTATTTCTTTTCTTTTCTTTTCTCTTTATTTTATTTGATTGACTCATGATAATTGTATGTATTTATGGAGTACAGTGTGATATTTGGGTACATTTATACAGTGTGCAATGATCATATCAGGGTATTTAGCATACCCATCACCTTAAGCATTTGTTGCCTCTTTGTATTGGAAACATGCAAATTCCTCTCAATTCACCACTTGAATTATACAGTAATTTGTCCTTAACTGTAGTCACCCTACATTGCCGTGGAACACTAGGTCTTATTCTTCCCATCTCTCTACAATTTTGTGTCCATGGACCACTGTCTCCCGTCTTCCCTCCCCTCTCCTCCCAGCAGTCTCTCGCAACCACTATTCTACTCTCTATGTCTGTGAGATCGACTTTTTTAGCTTCCACATGTGAGTGAGAACATGAAGTATTTCTTTTTCTGTGTCTGGCTTATTTCACTTAACATAATTTTCTCCAAGCTCATCCATGCTGCTGTGAATGGCAGAACTTCATTCTTTTTATGGCTGAGTGGTATTCCATTGTGTGTATATGCACCACGTTCTCCTTATCTGGTCCATCAATGGACATTTAGGTTGGTTCCATCTCGTGGCTATTGTAAACAGAGCTGCGAAACACATGGCAGTGCAGGTGTCTCTTCGACATGTTGATTTCCTTTCCTTTGGATATACCCAGTAGTGGGATTACTGGATCAAACGGTAGTTCTATCTGTAGTGCCTTGAGGATCCTCCATACTGTTTTCCATAATAGCTGTACTACTTTACATTCCCACCAACAGAGGGAATCAAAGGCATATATTTTTATCAGAAAAAAATATTTAAGACATGGAAAAATTTGTTTCTCCTTAGCAGCCTCTAATGCAGAACCAAGAATTAGATATGTAATAAATGCATAGCAGCTCGGTAAATGGTACTGTTTTAAAACTTTTCTGTTCTTTGAAAAGGTAATTAAAATTATGGAAAATAGGAAAAATGTTGTATTTACGGGGATTTTTATATTTACATTTATTTTATGTTTTATCAGATCTTTTTTATAGAACCCCAAAGAAAGGATATAAAGTATACGAATCTCTTTATGGGGAAAACAGACAGCCTTGCTACTCATTTTGGAATTTGAAATAGTAAAATTAAAGTGATTAAGTCACAGTAAGTTCAGGTACACAGGAAAGTCAGAGAACTGGTCTGACTGCTCATTTACACCTTGTAGCTAGCATCAGAGAATGGCAGATTCACAGAAGGCTGGGAAGTAAGGGCCCTTCAAAATCACTCTGCCTGACTGCCCCATTCACACTGATGCCCACAGAGTTGCAGAGGTGGAAGCATTGGCCAAGGTCACATAATAGAAAGTGACAAAGTTAACACTGAAACCTATCTGTCAGACTCCCAGCCCCGCTTCTTTACACAGGCGGTCAAAAACCCTTCCAGCCCACATGGGATCCCCCAGGGTGGGTGGTGGGACGACCCCATCCTCAACTGGAAGCTGAGGTTCTGAGGGCAGCTTTAAGTGATATTTGTGTCCCCCGCCCACTGAATGCCTGCCCCTGGTGCTTCCACAGTCCCGGGAGGGCCCCAGGCTGCTGCCTGGACTCACCCCCTTCTGCCGCGCCTGCATGCCTGCGCTGGATGTGGCCCTGGAGAAAGGTGGCACTCATGAAGGTCTTGTCACACAGGTGGCACTACATGAGGGAAAGCAATGGGGAGGACAGGATTAGCTCACCTGAGTCAGCCTGGGATTTCCCCTAGCCCAACATCCTGTTCTCGTGGGAACCCTGGGCTACTTCCGAAAGGAAGAATTCAATTTCCTGAGGAAGGCAGTGATGCCCACCCAAGCTGCCCATTAGCATCACCTGGAGAGCTTTAAAACACTGCCCGTGTCCCCGGGAACTGTGAGCACTGACTGAATATGGGATGATACTAAGGGATTTCTGTTGGTTTTTCAGGCTGTGATGATGCTGTTGTGTTTCTGCTTAAAAGCAGGAATCTTGCTTTGTAGAGATAGAAACTGAAATATTTGCAGATAAAATCACGTGACTAACATCCTTCAAAACAATCCAGGTGTGTGTGAACGTGGGGAGAGAAAGACGCAACAGCACGGCCGTGAGTTGAGAACCGCTGCGCGGGGCAGTTTGCAGACGAAGGCTCGTGACGTCACTCTCTCTACTTTCGTAATGTTTGAAATTTGCCATAACAGAAAGTTTGGAAAAATACCAAGTCTGGGTCTCACCCCAGGGTTGAGAACCACCTGAGGCAGAGGACAGCGAATAAATAGCATCTGTGACTCCACGTCCCTCTGCTACGGCACTGCAGACACTGCCAATCTGTCATATTGTCTTCTCACTGTAGAACCTCAGATTCTCCACCCAGCTTTGGAAGCTGCCGTGACGAGTTAACCAGAGTCAGGGGGCGGATTACGTGTATCTTTGCACAAAGGCAAACGTGACAGAATTTGACAGTTGTTCCCTGTACCCATTTTCCCTTTCTTCCTCACTAACAGAAACCCTGATTTTTAGCTGGTCATGAGGCCAATCGGAATAAACCTCATGTCCCAGCCTTCCCTGGAACTCGGTGTGGCCATGTGACTAAATTCTGGCCAAGGAAATGTAAGCAGAAGTGGTGCATGCAAGTTCGGGGACGGGTGGTTAAAGGAAGTTATGCCATTCCTCACCCACCCTCCTCCTGCTGACTAGGATGGTGGACCAGAGAGCTGGACCTCATGCAGCCACCTTAGACCATGAGGCAGAAGCCACATGACGGGAGTGGCAGAGCAGCACAGGAAAAACTGGGTCCCTGATGATTGTGGCATTGCATATCAGCCCCGGGTTGCTTACCTCCAGACTTTGTTAGAGAAAGAGAGAGAAACTTCTATCTGGTTTAAACACTTGTGACTACAGGATTGTTTTCTGCTGTCACAGTCAAACCTAATCCAGACATAAGCTGGACTGATCGACTTTGCCCAGTCTGGACTTCTTTTTTATTTGGCGCCGGCTGGTACAGGGATGAAACCCTGGACCGTGCTGTTTTCAGCACCACGCTCTAACCACCTGAGCTAACCGGCCAGTCCTCACACTCTGCTGTTCCACAGGGACACAAATGAATCTCTAGCTGTCAGAAGGAATATCAGTTGCGTGGATTGGTGGACATTTTATAAGTCATCTTCTCCCAAATTATAAGCCTTTCCCCCACTCCCACCTATCCCACCTTCCCCCTACCCACCTCAAGCAGCACAGTCACCCCCAGGCACCTGAAGGACGCAGCCACCACTGCCTTCAGGCAGACCCACTCTCATTAGTGTGGCATTCAAGGCCACTGTGGCCTGGCTCTGCTGTCCTCTCCTGCCACATCTCTCACCACAGCCCCCACACAAACATCCCAGGCTACGCCAAAGCCATCCTCCCCCACCACACTGAGTGCCCTTCTCACCCGGTGCCCTGGGTGCCTCTGCCTTAGTGCCCCTTCCCAAACCTCAGCTCCACATTCAAGGCTCAGTGCAGACCCCACCTCAGAAAGACCCTCCTCTCCCTCCTTTGACAGTGCCTCGGCCATGTCTTTGTGTCACTGAGCACTTTCTGCACTTGTCGTGGACATGCGTGCATTTCCTGGCCACACAGCAGCCTCTCCCTCTTCTTTTGGTAACAGCACCCCGCTTTCTTCTGGGGAGCTCCCCTCTCCCTTGCTCTCAATCCATGGGCTTCTGTCCACCTCCACCTCCCTGGTGGAACATGTGACCAAAACCAGAGCCCATCAGTGCCCCATTCCTGGGTCCATGGGAATGGTTCAGAGATGGGTAGGAGACCCAAACCCAGGAGATGCACCAAAATACCAGCCGGGCTGCTGCTGGCACCAGGAAGGTGCTCTTTCATGCCAGCCTTGAATCTGGGAAAGTGAGAAGCTGGAATTACAGTGGCCCAACTGGCCCCCACATGGACAGAATCCTCCTGAGAACAGAAACACAGAGGAAGAAGAGCCAAGAGCTGCAGACAGAAGCTACTTTCTGGTAACATCATCTGGCTCCTGGGGTAAGCCGACCTGCGTCCTACCACACCCCTGGACTTTCCAGTTAACCAAGAGATTCCCTACTGGCCTAAGCCATGTTAGGCTGCTGTTTTGTCACTTACACGAAAAAGCCTTTTCATCATAAACATTGTATAAATTAGCATCTAATCAAATAACACTGCACCTTAATGATTCCTTCCGTCCCACTGTGATATTGCAATATACTCAGAATATATATATTTGGCATTGTCCCCAGTTCCTGGCACAGATCTCCTAAAACCTTTGTAATTAACTGAGCAATAGGGGTGACAGGAGTATCGTTTGTAATAATGTTTGGTCTTAGTCTCTGGGTCCTAACACAAGAGCTTCTGAGATTTTGGAATCTCTGGAGTGACGAGTGTCAATGAGATGGCTGGTGGGTGGCTCCCCCGGATGGCTTCAGGGAGGGGGCTGGTCACCAGAAAGACCAGGCATGATTAGAGGGATGGGACTTTCAGCCCCACACCCCATCCTCCGAGGAAGGGACAGGGGATAGATATTGATTTAATCACCAATCGCCAATGATTCAATCAATCATGCCTACACAGCAGAAAGTCAATAAAAACCCTGAATGACGAGGTTTAGAGAGCTTCCAGGAGGATGAACACATTGAGGGGCTGGAAGGCCGATGTCCTGGAGAGGGCACAGGAGCTCCTAGCCCTCCCCATACCTCACCCTACACATCTCTTCCATTGGACTCTTCTGAGCTATAACCTTTAGAGTAAACCAGTAACAGTGAAAGTATCTTCCTGAGTTCTGTGACCCATGCTAGCAAATTATTGAACCTAAGGAGAGGCAGTTATGGGATTTCCCAATTTGTAACCAATCAGTCAGGAGTACAGGAGGACTGTGACTTACAGTTGGCATCTGAAGTGTGGCCACTCTGGTGGGACTGAACACTTAACTTGTGGGATCTAATGCTAACTCCAGGTACACAGTGTGAGCATTTAATTACATTGAAGAACACCCAACTGGTGTTAAAGAGTTAGTTTGTGTGAGAAAACACACACACACACACACACATTTGATGTCATGAGTTTTGTGAGTAGAAACACACACACACACACACCCTGTACAGCCTAATCGGATATCCTTGGGCTCTCTGGCCATGAGTGGTGATGGAGTTTGGATGTGTTGTCCCCTCCAAAACTCATGTGGAAATTTGATCCCCAATGTGGCAGTGTTGGAAACTGATTGAGTCATGGGGGCAGATCCCTCATGAATGGATTAATGCTCTTCCTAGGCGGGAGGGGGGATTAATGAGTGAGTTCTCGCTCTATTAGTTCCTGCAAGAGATGGTTGTTTATAGGACCCTGGTACCTCCATGCTCTCTCTCTCTTGCTTCCTCTTGCCATGTGATCTGCTTTTACCGGCTGGCTGCCTGCCACTTTTCTGCCATGAGTAGAAGCAGCCTGAGGCCCGTGCCAGATGCAGCTGTCCCAGAATCATAAGCCAAAGAAACCTCTTTTCCTTACAAATTACCCAGTTTCAGATATTCTGTTATAGCAACATAAATGGACTAATACAAGCAGCATCTCTAAAATCTACTCCTAACCAGTAAGGAGAACTCACAGCAGCCTCATGGCCCAGGAAAGTGCTGCCCAGCTGGCCTGGTGGCCAGGCACATAGCCCTCCCACTTCCCCACCTTGTGGAGTCTCCTCACCGGGTAGTAGCTGTGGGCGTCTGTCTGCACTAGCAGCTGCTGCAGGGTGCTGATAATCTTGTGACGCTGGTGGCTCTCCTTCCTCACAACCTTGAGCTTGTCAGTTTGGCGGCCCAGCTCCACCTGGCTTTGCTGCTGCTGGCGCAGGCTGGCCTGCAGCCGCACCTCCAGCTGAGCAATGCTGGCACTCAGGCACTCCTGGCAGTGCAGTAGGTACTCAATGCTGAGCTGTGCCAGACGCAGCACCTTGAGGAGCACTGGGTCCACAGGCTGCCCACAGCAGCTGCAGGCTTCCTGCTCCAAGTTGCAGAAGGTGACTCCATCAATATTCTCCTGCAGAGCAGCCACATCCACCTCCCGGGCCACACGGTCCACGTCCAGGGCATTAATGCGCCTCCAGTCTATGCTCTCACAACGAGGCTGGAACTTGAAGGTGGGGAGTGTGTAGGCCCCAAAGAGGAGGCCACTGAGGCCCCCAGCACTGGCAGCTGGGGACTGCATGGGTAGGGGCAGCCCTACTCTGACCACCGGGGAAGGGCACCACCAAGGCCACAGCAGCAGGACACGGAGCTGAGAGGGCCTGGAAAATAAGAGAGTCCGAGTTAGGTGAGGTGCATGTGGCTGCACGTGCTGTGACCCACCAGCAAGAGCTGAGGTGGGGCCAGGCGAGGCATCTGCACACAGCTGCAGTGGGTGTGCACACGCTGCTGTGCACAGGGACAATGTATGCTGTGCCACTACAGAGATGTGGATTCCAATCCTCTGCCTTGGGCACATCATTAAGGCTCCTGCGTGGCGCGGTCCACGCCATGGCAGGGTCTTGAAAAGAATAGCTTGGGCTGCCCTTTCTGAGTTGGCAAGGCCACCGGAGGGAGAGCTGCTGGCACGGCCATGGCTATGAGCACTTGCTTTCGCCGTAAAGATCTCTGCCTTGGCACAGTGGTGTGGCTTTCGCTTTCTCTTTTGATGTTTTGGTCAGCGTGGCAGTTTCCTGAGTTTCCAAAAGATGCAAAAAATGACACACAAACAGTTGTTGTCATAAAATTAGATTATCCCACAAAAGATCCGGGAAGATTGAACAATTCCAAATTGTCCCTTTTGAGTCAATTTATTACACCAACGGATGTTTTAAAAACACCTTATGA